AAAATAAATTTACCATGTCTTTAAAAATAGATTTGCCATGGTCATGGAAAACAAAAAATTGTGATGGATTTGAATATAAATTTGCCATGGTTGAGTATTTCAATTTTTCATGAGCTATGAAATTAAGTGAACTCTTATTCATGGAACATTTGAATTTATATTCTCTAGCTGATGGAAAAAATGAGAAAAAACAAAAAGTACATTGACATGGGAAATCTTTTAAAAAATACCATGAACATAGTTTGTTGACATGGCAAAACAATCTCTATTTGATGGCAGACGATCTCTAACATTGCCATGTGTATGAAAAAGGAACAATCTCTAATTCATGGCAAAAGTGATAAAAATGTGGTCATGCAAAATTTAGGATTTTTTTTCTATAATTTGTTGCAAATCCATAAAGATCGTAGTACATATACAAAGAAGATATAAGTACCATGGAAATTTTGTAGACTGATAGCCATGGCAATTTTGCAATGCAACATATAAAAAGTGTCATATGATCATGGCCAAAAATGCATACTAATTGGCATGGAAATTTTGCAGAATGTGAAATTGGGTGAAAATTGCGATCAAAATAAGACTAATTGCTATGGCATTTTACATATTATAAATTCTGGTGGAATTTGCCTTCACGAAATAGTGACTAAACCTGTCAAAAAATATAAGGAACCATGGGAAGAAAACATAAAGCTATGTACAGATTGTGAACTTTGCCAACTAAAAACCATATACTTATGCAAATTTGCCATGGCATTTTGACATGTTACCCGGATGATAGATGAAGCATAAAAATGATTCACCATCACCCACGTGCAGATCAGAGCTAGCTGGAGGACAAGCATTTGGCGGAGCACATCAACCATGTGCGCGCACACAGCTGCGGGCTCAACTTTTTTTGCCAAGTCCTACACAAATGCCAAGTTCTATCTCAATTTGCCATGTTCGACATTTACAATAAAATTGTCATGTTCGACTCAACATTTACCAAAGACAACAATAAGTCCAAAATCTAAATTCACTAAAATAGTATCGGAATATGCTAAATGTTCAACAATTTGCCATGTTCTACTCAATTTGCCACATCGACATTTTCAACTAAATTGTCATGTTCTAGTGGGAGTTAGCACAAAAGAGCATCTAGAGATTTATTCAAAGTAGCCACACTTGGGAAAAAAGGACATAGGAGGATTGACGTTGTGTGGGGAGACCTAGTGGACGGGTGGACGACCTCGCCGCCTTCGAGCTCTTCGGGTGCGGGAGAAGGCCGGGGCGCTGTGAAGACGCCAGAAAAAACCGGGAGTAGGGGCTTCCACTCGACATTGGCCATGGGCAACCACCGTACCGTCGCAGCTCCCGGCAACGAGCAGAAGGTGTCGTTGGCGAGGGGTAGCCGCTCCTGCCGCCGCATCCGCCTCTCACACTGCTTCAGCCGCCCCTATTGCCACAAGACGTCCTCCGTGGTCCGCGCGCCGATGCCAGAGCATAGCTCCTTGAATTGTCGGTGAAGGGATAAGGTGGTGCTGCGGGGGTGGGGGAGGTTCACTCAGTTGCTTCGATTCGGTATTGAACGACCTCCAGAGGCTGGCCATGACCTAACATGTGCCAAGATTTGTGCTAGCGGATGTAGCGGCCAAAAATTCGTTCTCTGGGACGACCCAAAAATCAGATGTCGGATTTTTAGCATTAGCGTAAATAAATAGTTTGGGCATCTGAATTCGCAAAGAAACCCACAATCCAATTGGAAAAGCACGATCGATGGAGACAAAAGATATTCACATAGATCAATTACTGTCTGTGCATCACCATTACAACTTTGTAGTTTGTACTAGTACCATATAACTGTTGGGTCAAACCTTGTCTCGGAGGCATGCATGCAGCGGCAGCAGCAGCAAATACTTTGCTAGGAAGTATTGGGCATGTCGACAGCATGCAGCACCAGCGGCAGCAGTAAAAGAGGAGAGAAGTTACTTCAGTTGCCGTAACTTAGTAGCTAAGCAAATGCTAGATGTAAGCAGTGACGTGTCATAGGATATGACGTATGTGCTTAGATCAATTAGAACAGTAGGTCGGTTTGTAAGTGCTATATAAAGAGCACCACTCCACCCGGTTGGAGAAGGCCATTCCAATTTCATTACAAGGCATTTCCTCCTTCTAGTACCACCGTGTGTGCTCCAAGCCTCAAGTGCTGTGTACTAGTACTACTACTACTACGTGTGTGTGTGATACACTAGTGAGTGTGTGAGTAGTACGTGTGTGTGCTCATCCACCGGTCATCTATCAGTGTACTCGAGTGCTAGCGAGTAGTTCTGGGCTGACAATTGGTATCAGAGCCTCTGGTTGTGGTAGCCATGGCCGGTGGTAAAGGAGTTCAGCAGCGCACCACCTCGGGTGGTTCCCAGGCGCGGCCATCACAGGACGGCTCCCAGTCGCCGGCTCCGGAGGAGCGGCGAGGGCGCAGCCGCTCCAGGCGCGGCCATCGCGGTGAGGTCGTGTTTAGGGAGGTCGTGCGCGAGACCGCGGTCAGTGGTAGCGTACCCATCACCTTCCCGATGCTCACGCGCTCGAACTACAGCGAGTGGGCGTTGATCATGGAGTGCAACCTCCATGCGGCGAGCCTCTGGGCTCCTATGGAGGACGACCTGGTCGAGAGAAAGGAGGAAAGGAAAGCGGTGGCGGCACTCATGCGCGCCACGCCGCCGGAGATGCACGGCATGCTCGCGGCGAAGGCAAGCGCCAAGGAGGCGTGGGAAGCCATCCGTACCCAGCGCCTCGGCAGCAACCGCGTGCGCGAGGCGAACGCGCAGAAGCTGCGGGCGGACTTCGAGAACATCGCCTTCAAGGAGGGCGAGCTCGTCGACAACTTCGCCATGCGGATCTCCAGCCTTGCGTCACAGCTCCGCGCGCTCGGCGACACCATGGATGACGCGAGAGTCGTGCAGAAATTTCTCCGCGTCGTTCCACCTCGTTTCGCTCAGGTAGCGGTCTCCATCGAGACTTTGCTTGACCTGAGCGAGCTCTCCATCGAGGAGCTGACGGGCCGGTTGCGGGTGGTCGAGGACCGCCTTGATGACGGCCGCGAGAGCTTCGGCGGCGGACAACTCCTATTCTCGAAGAAGTGGGAGGCGAGGAAGCGTCAAGGACGTGGTGGCGGTGCCCAGAGCAGCGGAGGCGGCACCGGCAGAGGCGGCGGTCGCACCCAGGGTGGAGCCGGACGAGGTGCCGGCAACGACGACCGAGACAAGTGCCGATATTGCAGCATCAAGGGCCACTGGGCCCGTGAGTGCCGCAAGAGGATGGCTGACGAGGATGCCGCAGCCGCGGCGAACCTCGTCGAGGCTGAAGAGGACGATGGGCCAGCAATGATGATGGCTTGCGTCGAGACCATGCAGGAGGGCCTAGCGCCTTCGGAGACCATGGCCCCGACAAGCATCGAAGCCGTGCAGGAGGGCGCAACACCTCCGGCAACCACGGTGCCGGCAATCGTTAAGTCCGTGCGGGAGGCACGAAGCTCTTCAACTAATCCCCTCCCCACATCGGTAGCGCTTCCCCGACAACAACGTTCTCGGGAGACTACGATTGGGAGGAGATGAAGACCCGGGTGTGGGGGGGGGGCACACCCCGGCAACCACGTTCCCTGCGACGCTGGTCAAGCCCGTGCAAGTTGGCATGGCAATCGCGGCCCCGACATCCTCGGGACCCGACAAGCCCATGCAAGTTGGCACGGCAAAGGCGTACCCGACATCCTCGGGACCCAATAAGCCCGTGTCAGGAGGCACGGCAACGACGCATATGGTGGGCCATGTCCCAACCATGATGCTGGTGACCAGTGAGACCGTGCAAGAGGCACGACACTCTCAGGTCGGCCATACCCCGACAACCAGGTTCTCGGGGTTCTGCAAGCCCGTGTGGGCAACACGGCAGTCTTCGACGGGCCTCAACAGCTGGGAGGCCATGAAGAGAAGGTCATGGGGCGGCAAGGCCTCGACCGTGACTCTGGCGACCATCGAGGCTGTGCAGGAGGCGCGGTGCTCTATGGTCAGCCATGCAGCAACCCTGACGCGCTCGGGGTCCATCGAGTCCGTGCAGAAGGCACGACTCACAACTGTCGGAGGAGATCCGACAAGCAAGTTTGATGGGAAGAGCACCAAGGACTCCGCTACCCTGAGAGGAGCCACTCCGGTCAGTGTGGCGTCCAGCACAACGACCCCGGGAAGGGAGTTCCCGGGCAGTGCGGTGTCCGGCACAATGACCCCAGGAAGGGAGTTCCTGGGTAGTGCGATGTCCGACAAGTCATCCCCAAGAAGGGAGTTCCTGGGTAGCATGACGTCCGACACGATGACCGCGGGAAGGGAGTTCCATGGCATTGTGACGTCAGGAACCACACGACAAGATCGGGATCATGGAAACAAGCTCCTTCGACAAGGTTGAGGAGGAGATTGTTGGGTCAAACCTTGTCTCGGAGGCATGCATGCAGCGGCAGCAGCAGCAAATACTTTGCTAGGAAGTATTGGGCATGTCGGCAGCATGCAGCACCAGCGGCAGCAGTAAAAGAGGAGAGAAGTTACTTCAGTTGCCGTAACTTAGTAGCTAAGCAAATGCTAGATGTAAGCAGTGACGTGTCATAGGATATGACGTATGTGCTTAGATCAATTAGAACAGTAGGCCGGTTTGTAAGTGCTATATAAAGAGCACCACTCCACCCGGTTGGAGAAGGCCATTCCAATTTCATTACAAGGCATTTCCTTCTTCTAGTACCACCGTGTGTGCTCCAAGCCTCAAGTGCTGTGTATTAGTACTACTACTACTACGTGTGTGTGATACACTAGTGAGTGTGTGAGTAGTACGTGTGTGTGCTCATCCACCGGTCATCTATCAGTGTACTCGAGTGCTACCGAGTAGTTCTGGGCTGACAATAACAATCGAATGAATGAACGAACGAGCGAAGAAGCTATATGCAAGATGGAACTGATGTATCATTGGTTCCAGGCGCGAGGTCCCTAGCTCATCATGATCTTGAACTCGTCGAAGCTCAGCACGCCGTCGCCGTCCAGGTCGAACCGGCAGGTCATGGCGTGGCACTCGCCGGCGCCCCGCTCAGCGCCGAGCCTACCGAGCATCTGCCCCAGGCTGGCCGGCGTGATGCACCCCTGCCCCTCCATCTCGTACATCCCGAACGCCTCCCTCAGCGCCCGGATCCTCAGCTCGTCGTCCTCCTCCAACGCGTCGCCCGCCCAGGACGCCTGCTGCGCCAGCTCGAGGAACTCGGCCTCGCACAGCAGCCCGTCGCCGTCCGCATCCGCCGACGCCACCAGGGCATCGGCCTCCTCCGCCGGCACGTCTTCGCCCAGCGTCGCCCGCATGCACCCCGGAAGCTCCGCCGCCGAGATCCGGCCGTCCGCGTCCCTGTCGAGCGACGCGAACAGCGCCCTCAGCTCGCCCGACGACGCCACCATTCTCGCCGGATGGTTGACGCTAGAGAGGCTCTTAGTAAGAGTTTAGTACTAGTTGATCTTGATTCTGCCTGGGCTTCCTAGATCCTCTGATTGCTATAAAGATTGCGCTGCAGCCATGCATGATCTTGGAGGTGCGGGTGTGCATATATACTCTGGGCGCAACGCATTCCTTGGAAGCTTCCCGGCATGAGGAGAGATGCCGTGGTCGTCATGGACAATGCCGTGTCGCCGGAAGTACCTTTCTACACCCAGGACCAAATGCTCCTAGTATGAATAGTAAAATTTAAAAACTAAAAAAATGTTCAAAAAATTCTGAAACTTTTTTTTTGACATACTTACACAAATGTTTGATGTGCATGCAAAATTTCATTGCGAAATCACATTGGTGGAAGGCGTGCCAAAAAAAACAAAATCAGAGCTCCAAAATGCTTTTGTAAGTAACATTTTCAGAGCATCGATTTTGTTTTTTTTACCACGCCTTCCATCAGTGTGATTTTGCGATAAAATTTTGTAGGCACAACAAACATTTGCGAAAGTATGGCACAAAAAATTTTCAGAATTTTTCGAATTGTTTTTGAATTTATTTAATTTTACTGTTCACACCAGGAGCATTTGCTCCTGGGTGTAGAAACTCCACGTCCCCGTGTCGCGGGGTTTGACTGCGGGTTATTCTTCTCGTCTCCGTGGTCAACACATTCCTTGAAAGCTTTCGCGTGGTGTCCGAGTGTCAATTAATTCGAGAAACAAAGAAAAGCACGCGGGGAACTGGCGGCGAAATCTGTTGCTTCGTTCCGGGAGAGGAAAAGCCGGAAGATGAGTGTTTTTTCCCCCCGAAAAGTTGTTTTCCCCTGAAAAGATGTGTGTTGGTTGCGCGTGCGTGCGGTCCGACTTGGCAAAAGGGGTCGGCGTCGGTTGGCGTCGCGTGTAGTCTTCTGGCCCGTCCCCGTGTTCGCGTGCGTGGATTCGGAAGCAAATTCATTCCACGTCGGCATCGTGCCACTGCTGTTTTTTTTAATTTTAATACAGACACAAGCGCTCATATACACGCGTATACACTCACCGATATGAACGCACACACACACCCTGCCTCTATGAGCATCTATGAAAGACTGAGCCGGCATATCATCTTGAAATTTACGAAGTCACCATAGGCACCTCGTAGTCGACGGGAACGTCTCCTCCCACTGAATGCGCATCGCTGAAAATTCTTAAATAAATCCAGAAATAAATGCGAACACCAGAATTTGAACCCTAATGGGTTGTGATACCACAGTCCCTCGTGCCACTACCGTTGGATGGAGCAATTGTATTTTGTCAACTGTATCGTTTGGAGCGTTGATGCAACGCGTACACATTTCACTTGCCTCCGTTCAATAATTGTGCATGATTTTTGAGATATGCTTGGTTCCGTTAGGTCATCTTCAAAACGGGTCCTTAAATAGTCCACAACCGTTCGGACGGCATGGTCCGAACGTGGTTAGCCATTGAACACGGGTCTATATCGATCCGCCCATCGGGGCGGACGCATTTTCTGCAAAGTCGAAACAAAAGTGAGAGGCTTTAAGGGAGTCTGAACAGTAGCCATGCAAGACTTCGACACCCCCGGCCACCCAAAACTCATCCCGGACCCCATGCATCTATCCTTTCATTTTTCTCTACATCCGTTTTCTATCTCGCCTCCGCCACCGCTCCACCACTCCAGCAGCCCAGTCACACCCTTGCTGGAACTCGACGACTCCGTCTCCTCCAATGCTACACCCGGGCTCCACGCTCCTTCTTCTCTGCCACAATCATGATTCAATTATTCTCATCAATGATAGAGTGTTGATGCGGGGTAAGAATCATAGAGCATGTAGCAAACGAGGTGTATAGAGATTCACAAGGACGGAGACTAGGAGTTCTCAGGGATCAGTGGCTAATACTGGACTGATGCTTTGGATTTTTTCTGGAAGCAGACTTTTGCTTGGTGATGTCTTTCCCATGGATGCTAATGTCTTCTTCGAATTTACCTTCTGTATTTGTATTTGTGGTTTTGCTCCAGGTCTTGTGCTGGTAGCTTCTAGTGTTGTTGAGTTTAAAACTCTGGTGGTTTGTGTAATATGTTTGTGCCTGCCCTTGTTTGTGGTGTTGGAGACTCTAGGTTCTTCCTCTGCTGAGCTGTTTTTTTTCAGATGTTTTGCTTCTTCGTTTGAAGATGTTTTTAGCTTTGTTGTATTTGCTGGTGGGAGTTAGTTAGTAAGATACGAACCAAATTAACTCTTTAATAGAAAATCAGAGAGGAAGGCTGTCTTTTGCTTAAAAAAATGTAAGTTCATTGAATTTGCAATTTGGGTAAGACGGTCTTGTGGAAGGAGGAACGGCCGGACGAAATAAAAGCTGGAGGAAGAAAAAAAAAGATGACGGTTGGATTTTAGTCTACCGGCATAGAAAATTGAGTAGAGGCCCTAAATAATTTTTTGGTAACTTACACATATTTGGTGCCTAAATAGTACCGCAGGGACATTTTCTGTATATTGGGTGCTACGACTCTCAAATGTAAACAATATAACCCGAGTGTGTATCTGGTTACTCCTATATTTTTAATTGAAAAAAAAAACTATTCACATGCAGCCCTCGCTCTAAGTACTTGTCCGATTACGCCCATACACGCGGTGTTCCCTGCTCAATCCACATGGGCCCATAGGTAGCACCTCCGCCGGGGTGTACCTCGGCCCATCAGTTCGTGCGGGTTTAGTTAAGCCCCGCATGGGCTGTTCCCCAACCAAAACCCTCCAACCACGCGAAAACACGGGGAAACATAATTGTCACCTCACCCGTGGAAACAAACCATGCGGGACCTGCAGGTGAACTCTCAGCAACGGCGAAGCCCAATGTGAACTCGACGGGAGCGGTGACCTGCCAGGAGGGGTTTAACCGAACATGATTGGGTGAGCGAGGGATTGAAGGGATCTAGAGGTTTAATCCCTACACAGATTGGTTGAGGGAGTGGGGATCACCCAATCCGTGGGTGGACTGGATGGCCTAGGGGGTTGGTCCCTACCTAACAAGGCCTAACAACGTGTTTGGTTGGGGGTAATTAGAGCTGGGGAATCTGAATTGAAGAGGTACGAGACTTTAAATCTATTGTTTGGTTGAAGGGATTGAGAATTCATAAGGGAATAGTCATGGGACTTCCTATCGTGCGCCAAACATATGATTGGGAATAAACGACCCATCTCAGGGCTAATCACAATACAACTTCCTACTCTAAACTCTCATTCCCCTTTCCAAATATTGCCAAACGCGTTGTAAAGGGTTTGGAGCCGAGGATGACAAGTCAGCCGCTTCACATTCATGTTTTTCATTCATTTTGGGCATTTGAATTCCTCGAGAAACCCACGATCCAATTCCAAGAGCACCGACAATCGATCGAGACCAAAAGTATTCACATAGATCAATTACCTCATCATGACAAATTTTGTACTACTACCATGTAACAATCAAATGAATGAATGAATGAGCGAAGGGGCTATTTGCAAGACGGAACGGGTATACGCTTGGGTCTGGGGTCAGGCTAGCTAGCTCTAGCTCATCATGATCTTGAACTCATCGAAGCTGAGCACGCCGTCGCCATCGAGGTCGAACCGGCAGATCATGGCGCGGCACTCGCCGGCGCCCCGCTCGGCCCCGAGCCTGCCGAGCATCCGCCCCAGGCTGGCCGGCGTAATGCACCCCTGCCCCTCCATCTCGTACATCCCGAACGCCTCCCTCAGCGCCCGGATCCTCAGCTCGTCGTCCTCCTCCCCCGCGTCGCCCGCCCAGGCCGCCTGCTGCGCCAGCTCGAGGAACTCGGCCTCGCACAGCAGCCCGTCGCCGTCCGCGTCTGCGGACGCCACCAGCGCCTCGGCCTCCTCGACCGGCACGTCCTCGCCCAGCGTCGCCCGCATGCACCCCCGCAGCTCCGCGGCGGAGATCCTGCCGTCCGCGTCCCGGTCCAGTGACAAGAACAGCGCCCTCAGCTCGCCCGTCTTTGTGGCAACCATTCTCGCCGGATGCTTTAGTAGTTGATCTTGACCCTGCCTGTGCTTCCTAGATCCTCTGCTTTGCTATAGAGCTGAAGGTTGCTGCTGCATGATCTTTGAGGTGCGCGTGTGCATATATACTCATGGCGCGACGCGGTCCTTGGAAGCTTCACGGCATGCAGGGCGGGAAGAGAGATGCCCTGGTCGCCGTGGACGTTCATGCCGTGTGGCGGATTGGACAACGGCAGGTTTTCTTTTTCTTCTGGGTGGTCAACCACGGCGGGTCAGTAGTCTTCGAAATGGATGCGTGGGGGCATACGTGACTTGGCGTGACGGCCGAGATGGTTCTCGTGGAGGAGAAAAGCAGGGGAAGGCACGGGGAAAATCTGCTTCGGGGACTGAAAAGTTCGAGGTTGGCTGCGCGTGCGGTCCGACTTGGCAGGGTTGACGTGGGAGTCGTGTGCGTTTGTTTTGCCGGGAAACTGTCCTTCCTTTTCATGCATGTCGCCATCGTGCCGCTGTAGTTGGATGGAGCGCTGACGCAAAAGCAAGGCTCACTCAGCACGGACGTTCGAGTACGGGCTGCCGCTGCTCGCCGATGTCGGTGCGGTGGTGCTGCCCGATGCACACAAGGTGCCTGTTGAATTGTCAAGGAGAGAAAGAGAGGCGGAAGAAAGTTCATGCTGACATGTGAGCCCCCACGAGTCATAACGGTCAACTTAACGGTCCATCGCAATGGAGTTGATTTTCCCATCACGTCCCCCCTAACAAGCAGGCCCCTCCTGCTGTAAATGCGTTTAAATCGTCTAAACCGGCCACTATCCGTGGTTGTTTTAAAAAAAATTAGGTCTAGCTGGTAGTTTTTGCTCACAATTTTAAAGTACTAGTTCTGTAAGATCGAGACCTTAAATGTGGTAGTTTTTGTTAAATACTCCAACATGTAAGCATCAGTTTCACCTGTTTCATCTCTTTCATAGATTCATTTTTTCTTGGAAAAAGATGGATTTTTTTACCGTGCATCGGATACAATGTACATGTATCCGCTGTCCACTCGTGCTTTGAGATTTCTGCCATATCACTACACCACAACACTGCAACCCCAACATCCAGATTGGTCGGTAAAACAGCTTCTGCCTACAAACAGTCGCTCTGGAAAAACTATTGTCGATCAACCATGTTTGTTGGGGAAAGTTCAGACGGGAAAAGCTTTTCCCGACCGGCATACCTTTGCCAACCGACTGTTTGATGGCTAACTAAGAATAATTCCAGACCGATTGTCAGTTGATGTTTTTTACCGACCAACTTTCTGTTGGCCCCTTTCCCGACTGATTGCCTGACGGCATTTGTTTTGCTGAGCAACATTCCGACCGCCCTGCCAAGAGCCTTTGCCAACCAACAATCAGACAGTGTGTTCTTTTCCCGACCAATATTACGCCAACATTTTGTTTAGCCAACCACAACTTTAATTAACACATGGTACTAACTGTCACATACATATATTTCTTCTCTTCAAAACATAAAACACAAAACACCATACATCAGCTACACCAAACATTTTTTTTATTCCGTTAAAAAGCTGTCACATACATATACTTCAGTCTGTTCTAAACATAGCCACCAAGAAAACATACATAATTTTCACAAAAGGTTCTAAAATAAGACACAGTTGTACAAAATGAAAGCTAAAATATCCAGTTGACGTGGAGCACTGGCTTCATGGTCCCTTGTGAGTGCAGTCCTTCTGTTTGCTTCCTACAAAAGATAAACAAGTCTCAATTGTAATACAATATCAGAAACTGAATTTCCTTTGTTTTTTATTTAATTTGCAAACATTCCATATGTGAAACAGTCCTTTTTTTTGTTGAGTGAACCACAGGCTGCTAGAAATGATATTATATCTTAAAACATTTACATGTAAATAGTGTTGACTGCTTACACACTAGTCTCTAGAAATAATAGAAGGGCTTAGCTATCCATACCAAAACTGGAAAAAAGATCACCTTAGTCATGCAATCAGAACATGTAACAATTCTAGAGTTTGGTTGCGCTAGGGTTAGGGTTTGAGCCGGCGACCATGGGCGATCACGCCCCGGTGCCGGAACACCCTCGCGTGAGTCGATCGGAGAGCGCCAAGGAGTCTGCCCCTGCTACACTCCCAAAGTCAAGGTCGTCTACGAGTCTGGGTTGGACTGGGGGTCATTCTTTTGGTCTCGTCTTCGTGATCAACCACGGCATGCAGGTCAGTATTCTCCACAAAATGGATTCGAAGCTTTCGTGTGTTGGCGTCCGTGTGTCGATTAATTCAAGAAACAAATAAAATAACGCGGGGGAAGACGCGGCGAAATCTGTTGCTTCCTTCCGGGACAAGAAAAGCCGGAAAGATGAGTGTTGTTTGCGCGTACTAGTACGTCGATTGGTGTCGCGTGTGTGGAGTGTTACTCTGGCCGGCCCGGCGTTCGGCGTTCGCGTGCGTGGGTTCGTAATCAAATTCATTCCATGTCGGCATCATGCCACTGCTGTTGGATGGAGCAATTGTATTTTGTCAAACTGTTTGATTGGGAGCGTTGATGCAACGCGTACACATTTCACTTGCCGCCGTTCAATAATTGTGCGTGTTTTTCGAGATAGACTTGCTTGGTTTCGTTAGGGCATCTACAAAGCGGACCACCACCCACAACCATTCAGACCTCCCAACGTATTTAGCCATTTAACAAGGGTCTGTATCGGTCCGCCGATCGAGCCGGACGCATTTTCTGCAAAGTCGAAACAGACGTGGGAGGCTTTGCGGGAGTCCGAACAGTAGCCATGCAGGACTCCGACACCCCGGCCACTCAAAACTCATCCCGGACGCCATGCGTCCATCCTCCCATCTTTCTTTACATCTGTTTTCTATGTTGCCTCCGCCGCCGCTCCACCACTCCTGCCGCCCGGTCACACCCTTGCTGGAACTCGACGACTCCATCTCCTCCAATGCTACACCCGAGCTCCATGCCGCTTCTCCTCCGCTGCAATTATGATCCTTTTATTCTCAACAAACTGATATATCACAGGATATCTTCTTGGTCCATTCTGTAGATAATTGAGGAAAATTAAAGGGTGTTGATGCTGGGGCAAGAATCATAGAGAATGTAGCAAATGAGGTGTATAGAGCTTCACAAGGGTGGAGACTAGGACTTCTTAGGGATCAGTGGTTGATGATGTAACGATGCTTTGGAATTTTTCTGGAAGCAGACTTTTGCTTGGTGATATCTTTCCCATGGATGCTGATGTTCGCTTTGAATTTATCTTCTGTATTTGTAATTGTGGTTTGGCTCTAGGTTTTGTGCTGGTAGCTTCTAATGTTATTGAGTTTAAAACTTTAGTGGTTTGTGTAATATGTTTGTATCCGCCCTTGTTTGTGGTGTTGCAGTCTAGGTTCTTCATCTGGTGAACTGTTTCTTCCCCAGATGTTTTGCATCTTGCTTTGATGATGTTTTTAGCTTTGTTGTAGTTGCTGGTGGGAGTTAGTTTGTAAGATACGAACCAAATGATTTTTTTGTTGGAACTGCAGCCCTCTAGTTACCTCTTCTCTCACTTGAACGGAGGTGGAAGAAGAAGAACATTGGACATAAGATTTTCTGGCCGGCGCACGAACGCCGCCAAGAGCGCACGAATGCTCCAATCTTTTTTCTTCCTTACAATGGCTACATAGCTACACTCGGCTCATACCGGCACACCTAGATCAATACATCAGGGGGTCTTTTATACCCGGCTGCACACACACACACACACCAGCACACGCACCGTCCGTCACACGCGGCCACTAACAACACTAACTAATTAGCTCACGCATGCACCAACTACACGCTCACCGCATCAATCCGGCTTGCCTGCTCCCTCCTCATACTCCCATCCGTGCTACCATTTCATCCTACATCTGTGTTTTTTCCCTTTTCTTTTCTAATCTAATCATCCCCTAGATTTTAAAGGAATGGGGCCGGGTCTTATTTTATTCCAATCAAATAAAGCAACGTATGCGGGAGCACGAATGGGCGCACGCTTGAGGAGCAGACAAGTCTCGTCCCCACCGCACCAGCCACTACCTGCATGCACGCTCAGATCCAGCCTCTTCCAACAGCCACATGACCCGTCATGCATGTAGCTAATCAGCCACGGCTGCGCCACTCAACGAGGCCAGTCCAACTGACCTCTACAGCCGCTACTACACACACGACTAAACACAGAGCTATGGCGGCGCACACGACGCATGCAGTGACATGGCTTATTTCTAACATTCTTCTCCTAAGCCATGACCTCGTCATTGTCGGAGTTGTTGCAGCTCCCGTCGTTGTTGTCGTCACGAGCGTGACCCAGCTCGCAGACCCGACCTGACGCAACGACGCCGGTCGCACTGTGCTTCATCACGACTCCGGCGACACACGCCGAGCTCCTTCTCCGCCGGCGACACACGCCTGGCGTCTCTCGGTGCCCCGCACGTCCCGCGCACACCCGACGAGCCCGACTGCACCGGTGCGTCCCGCACGTCCCGCGCGCACCCGACGCGCCCGACGAGCCCGACCACACCACACGTCGTGGACTCACCGCGCACCGCCTCTGCGTCCGCCATGGCAGCCGCTAGCGACAAACGCCGGAAAGATGTAGCCGAACTCAAGCACGGACTCGAGCACAACGGCGACATACGCCTCCTCCCAATGTCAATCGCACGCTCGTACGCGCGCCCGTGGTCCCACCGCGCCCGAGGCCTTCAGTGCGCACCATAACACGCACCGGTCGCGCCCGGCTCGCCGCCACGGCTTATTGCCCTGCACCGCTGCGGCCTCAACTACAGCGCATCACCTCCATGCTGCCATGCCACTGTGTGTCGTTCGAGCCGCCACCACGCAGGTCTTCCGCGGCCTCCTCATCGTGCCGCCGCAGCCACCGCGGCCTCCTCGCTGTACCGCGCACCTCCATAGTCCGACACACGGCCCGAAGCTTCACCGCGCAGCCGCCGGCGAACGCTGCCACCGCCGGCTCGCCTA